AACCACAGCAGGACTTGAAGCATGCCAAATTGCGAACAATAGATATCAAGTATTTGCACCTCTCATTTTAAGAGCAGAGCAGATTTTTTGTTACTCTTTTCAAAGAAATTAAGCTTACACATACAGCCACAGTTAGTATTGGAAAATACATACACACTTGCCATTGCCATTGCCAGTACCAGCCCACACTGGGACTCCACTGAAGACAAGACTGCGGTTGGTTAACGTTAATGTGTACCACGATTTATTATAGATCACAAACACATACTACAGTATATGTTTGTTGTACATGTATATGGCCCAATCGTGTCTCCTGGTAATGCATTCAAGCCTAGAACATTCACACTAGCTAGATTATTGCGCACTTTAATTTTTATCTACCTATATGTAGCTTGGAAAAAAAGGTACGTACACACTAATTAACCATTGATAATTTGATGTTGGATTTACAGTTACCTAGCTAGCTACATACCAATGCAACAAACCAGATTCCATAGTCGCTTGTCATTGTCTGTTTAGTGCTTACAAAAGCCTAATTAAAGATGCCAAGCACTGGTTGTTATGCTATATTTCAATTCTGTTGTCTAATGAAGTTGTTATATTATATCCAATGTGTGATGGAACATTGCCAATGAACACTACTGATGTTGTTATTATCAAATGAAGTTGTTATAGATATCTATATATCCATCATTCTCTTATTTAAAATTTAATCCCACCCATGGAATGCATAAAAAATTAAGCCTCCCCATTATATGATTCAGTTATGTCACCATGTTTATAACATTTGGGTGATTCATAAAAGGGAAAAAGTAATTGAACTCCACTCAATATAATTTTTTTTTTTACTTCTAATCATAACAATAAACGTCGAAAAAGGAATATACCTTGTGGCATCTGGGTCTTATCAAAATGATCTCGTCCTTGATCTTCCTTCCTCTTCTTGGAGTATTTGCAACCCTGGTGCCTGGTAGTGGTTAAGTTTACAGGTTTATTATACAATTTTCCAAGCTTAAGTTCAAATATTTAATTTAT